GAAAGCATAGCCCATGGTTTTTTCAAAAAATGGCTCCAAAATCACTCCAAATTTTTATTACATTTTCTGATGTATATTAATGTCCTTATGCTGTGTAGAAAGTTTGAGCCGATTCCGAGCTTGAATTCTGGAGTTATGAGCACTTTTTCAAAACTAGCAGATTTTAAGAAAAAAAAGCATGGACTATTAGTAACGCAGTAGCGTTATTAGTAACGCAGTAGTGTTACTAAGTAGGATTCACCCCCAAACAAAATGGCTGCCACGACTTTTGCAGCCTTGCTATACCGGGAAAACGAGCTCCTATGCTTACCAGACTTCTTAGAGGACCTCATCTTGACCAGAAGACTCCATTGGTACCACTAGCGTGGCTCTAGACCTTATCTAAGAGAAAATTCAAAAATCGGCAAACTGGCCGTTTTGTTCAGCCACCTTTTTTTCATCATCATTATCATCATCATCAAGTCAGAAGTCCTGTCAATCCAGTTGTCGGTGTGTATCTCAGTATTGGTTGGTGCTACAAGGATAATTCTTACACCAATCTACTCCAACAGTCTATGCGCAGGTCCATGTCCCATCAGATCATTCTTCAAGTAAGGAAAAAGTGATACTGTGAGTCTGTGACTGCTGGAACGAGCCATCTTAGCTGCATGCCGCCATTTTGTTAATTAAAGAAGCTTGCCATGTGCTCCAAAATTTGGGTGTGGTCGCGCATGCTCAGATCTGCATCTCTGGAAGAAGCAAGTTATTACTGCAATACTTTAGTGGAGGTTTCCAGCTAAAAGAAGGTATTGATTTTACATGTTACTGTTTTATCAAGTGTGTTATTTTATTTTATTTAAAAAAGCAAACAATTAATTAATGTTATGACTTATGATATGCAATGATAATTATGAACTTGACAACAGCCTGGAAGAACAGGAATAGCAGGGAAGATGGACACTCTTAGCTCACAGATTCTTGAACAAGGACTTGTGTCAAGACTAATTCCTTCAGCATGTCTATTCGATGCTGTCTCTCATAAATGTTATAACAATGATAATAATAATAAAGAAAATTATTGTTTGTGTAAAATCAACAAGTATCACAATTGCAACTAAAGAAATACTATAAATATTATTTTTAAAATCAACACAAACAAGAACAAAAAATAAAAAAAGATGAAGTAGGATTCCGAACGACCAACGAAAATACGAAATACTATTAAAAAAATCAACACAAACAAGAACATAAAAAATTTAAAAAAAAACAAGATGAAGTAAGATTCCGAACGACCAACGAAAATACGAAATGAAAATCCTACTCGTGACGCAAATTCTACTCTACATTGCAAGGTGATCTGTAATTCTTACATAATAATATTAAAAGTACAATGTAGAGTTGAATTTGCGTCATGAGTAGGATTTTCATTTTGTATTTTCATTGGTCGTTCGGAATCCTACTTCATCTTGTTTTTTTTTAATTTTTTATGTTCTTGTTTTAGCCCATGGTTTTTTCCAAAAAATGGCTCCAAAATTACCCCAAATTTTTACTAAATTTTCTGATACATATTGATGTCCTTATGCTGTGTAGAAAGTTTAGGTGATTTCGAGCTCAAGTTCTGGAGTTATGAGCACTTTTTAAACACCCAAGGCTATAGCCCATGGGTTTTTTCAAAAAAATGGCTCCAAAATCATCCCAAATTTTTATTAAATTTTCTGATACATATTGATGTCCTTATGCTGTGTAGAAAGTTTGAGGCGATTTCGAGCTCAAATTCTGGAGTTATGAGCACTTTTTAAACACCCAAGGGTATAGCCCATGGTTTTTTCAAAAAAATGGCTCCAAAATCACCCCAAATTTTTATTAAATTTTCTGATACATATTGATATCCTTATGCTGTGTAGAAAGTTTGAGGCGATTTCGAGCTCAAATTCTGGAGTTATGAGCACTTTTTCAAAACTAGCAGATTTTGAAAAAAAAGCATGGACTATAGCCCATGATTTTTTCAAAAAAATGGCTCCAAAACCACTCCAAATTTTTATTACATTATTTGATACACATTGATGTTCTTATGCTGTGTAGAAAGTTTGAGCCGATTCCAAGCTCAAATTTTGAAGTTATGAGCACTTTTTAAAACTAGCAAATTTTGAGAAAAAAGCATGGACTATTATAGCCCATAGTTTTTTTCTGAAAAATGGCTCCGAAATCACTCCAAATTTTTATTACATTTTCTGATACACATTGATGTCCTTATGCTGTGTAGAAAGTTTGAGCCGATTCCAAGATCAATTATGAGCACTTTTTAAAACTAGCAGAAAAAAGCATAGACTATAGCCAGGGTTCTATCCAGTGGGGGGGGTGGGGGGGAAGCTTCTTCCCCAAACTCTTCATCTTCCCCCCCAAAACTTCAAGCTTCCCCCCTGTGTACTTCTGTAACTGCATGCATGTACTGTACATAGTTTTTTCCAAAAAATGGCTCCGAAATCACCCCAAATTTTTATTACCATTCCTGATATGGTATACATTGATGTCCTTATAGTGTTTAGAAAAGATTGAGCTGATTTTGATTCATTAATTTTTATTTTAAACAGGAGAAGGAACTCTCGTATAAGAAGAGTAAAATACGCCATCTTGGATCACAACAGAGAAGAAGGAGTTTAATCAAGAATGTTTGCTAAAGGTAATAAGAACATTACCAGTTTACCATATCACATGACT